ATTGTTCAACAAAAGCAGCTGGTGTCAAGTATTAAAACTTCATTTTCAAAGAAACTGTTTGAAAAATTGATCATAGCAGGATGTTTCTGTGGTAGAAGAAACTGATACAAATTAAATTTATATTTTTAAGAAATCTGTGATTACAATTCACTCTACCTCTGTATTTGAGTTCTGAAGCACCGAAAATGCCCTGATTTGATTTCTCATTTTGGATTTTTATTGGCTAGGAATTAATGGGAATATTCATATGCCTCATGCCAAAAGACAGCCCAGTGTTGCCAACTCTCATGATTTTATCATGAGCCTGGCAGTGTGTGTTGTTTCACTGAATGCTCCAGCTCCTGGGATAAGCGAGATTCTGCGAGAATCTTGGCTTTCATTAAAAAAAAACCCAGTTTCTATCCCCCCTGGTGACTTGAAAATTTAACCAAGCATCCTACAGGCTCAGAAACAAGATAAAAGGAACCTAAAAATACTACTTGTAAATATCCTGATTTCTGGGGTCCTGCCTCAAAATTTTTGCAACATTTGGGGTTGGCAGTGCCAGCTCTCTGCTAGGGCTGAGATATCTTACTGTAATAGCCAAAGAAACATAGACATGTAGGCCTGGAATGGACCTGGAGAAGCTATCAAGTCCAGCTGCCCCTGCATATTGCAGGACCAAGTCAATCCAGCCCACCCCGACAGGAGTTTGTTCAATAAGTTCTGAACCACGCCCCCAGTGACGGGGACTCCACAACCTCCCTTGCAGCCTGTTCCAAAGATTAACTCCCCTGAGAGTCAGAGCGCCACAACTTTCCTCAAGTGTAGTGCCCAGAATTGGACCCAGCACTCCAGCTGGATGTCTAATAACTCAAGACTTAAATATAGCATGAACTCCAGCGGCTTGGTAGAAATCGCATCTTTTCCAAAGAACTCCCCAAATCCACTAGAAAAGAATGAGTAACTCACGAGGAAGGAAGTATTGCACACATGAAATATGCACAGAGAAATAGCACTGACATTTCAGGGGTTCTTCAGGCCTGAGGAAGAGCTACCTCTGTGTAGCTTGGAGGGCAGTAAAGGAGATTACCTCTCCTACACTGAGTCTCCACTTGGTAAACAGCAATCGGCAATTAATCACCAGGATCTTCCCTTTCATGGGTAGCCCCCCGCTCCCGCCAGTCTCCAAAACAAAACCCAAAACAAAGCCAAGAACAGCAACATTAATATCCGCAATGAAAGGGGTGTGCAACGAATGGAAACTCGCTCATGGACCCATTCCGCAGCAAGGGGTTCCCCTTAGGCCCTGGCAGGACACTGCTGCAGGATGATACGCTGCTATACCTAGGCAGGCAGAAATGCATCTGATTCAGCAGCATGTTGGCTGAGTCAGAGCTGGGGCACTGGACCAGGGCCTGCCCACACGTTTATTAGAACCTGTTAATCATAGACAGGGAGGGAAGCGTTCATATGGCTAAATGGCATCCCTCCCTCCTCCCGAGACAGGAGCCTTGGCAAGTGAGAAGCAGCACAAAGCGCACAGGCAGGAGTGCTATCCAAATACCTGGTGCCCACCTGTCTCTGTTCCACTCATGAATCATTCACCAAACATTCTCACTTGCTCCGCACTGCATTTTTACAAGCAATTTAATACCAAGATACATTATTTATAGGGAAGCTTATTTGGGGCAGGGACCATCTTTTTGTGCTAGTACAAAGGAGTCCTGGTTCCCCCCTCTCCCCCCCGGGGACATGGGCGGCAGGTAACATGGGCAAAGGAAGGCATTGCCTCTCCCAAACAGCCTTTACTCTGCCCAGCTCTGCAGCAGGCGAGGCTGGCAGGGCCTGTGGTGCAGCTGCCTGGCTCTCTGGCTGCCAGGAAGGGTGGGGCTGATGCACCCCCTGGAACAGGGGGGACTAAGGAGCTTGGGGATGTTCAGGATCTGAGGGCAGTAACCTGGGGTGGGGGCTGGGCTTTTCCCCATGGGTAGGGGTTGCAGAAGGGGCGGAGCCTCAGGTAGAAGGGGTCGGGCTAGGGCCTGCCTTCCCCAGCTGAGCCTTCACCCACTACCCATGCTGGGGAAGGGGAGGGGGGGCCTAGGAGCTGTCACAATACAAATAACAATAAAATGTTGGAATAAATGAAGATTATTTGTTAGTCACAAACCTTTCACTTCAGACAGTCTCTGTCCATTACTGGTGGGGTTTGTGCTCTCTTACTGGACAGATCAAAACATTTTAAACAGAGGACAAAGCGTATGGATTGACAATTAGCCAGGGGCGCTAAAGAAATAATATATAAATATCATGCAGGATGAAGTTTAATAAGGACTGATGCAAAGTGCTCCACGTAGGAAGGAACAACCTGTTTCACATGTACAGAATGGGAAGTGACTGTCAGGGAAGGAGCACGGCTGAAAGGGATTTAGGGGTCATAGTGGACCACAAGCTAAATAGGAGTCAGCAGTGTGATGCTGTTGCAAAGAAAGCAAACATGATTCTGGGAGGCATTAACAGGAGTGTTATGAGCAAAACACGAGGAGTCATTCTTCCACTCTGCTCTGCGCTGATAAGGCGCCAATAGGAGTATTGTGTTCAGTTCTGGGCACTGCATTTCAAGAAAGATGTGGAGAAATTGGAGAAGGTCCAGAGAAGAGCAACAAAAATGATTAAAGACCTAGAAAACATGAGCTAGGAGGGAAGACTGAAAGAACTGAGTTTGTTTAGTTTGAAAAGGAGAAGACTGAGAGGGGACATGATAGTGGTTTTCAAGTATCTAAAAGGGTGTTATAAGGAAGAGGGAGAAAAATTTTTCTCCTCAACCTCTTATGATAGGACAAGAAGCAATGGGCTTAAACTGCAGCAAGGGAGGTTTAGGTTGGACATTATGAAAAATTCCTGCCTGTCAGGGTGGTGAAACACTGGAATAAATTGCCTGAGGAGGTTGTGGAATCTCCATCTCTGGAGATATTTAAGAGCAGGTTAGACAGTCATCTATCAGGGATGACAGATGATGCTTGGTCCTGCCATGAGGGCAGGGGACTGGACTCGATGACCTCTCAAGGTCCCTTCCAGTTCTAGTGCTCTCTGATTCTCTGACTCTCACACCCAAGCAGCCTTGTTTGCCGGTGGCTCAGGGCGTTCCCACAGAGGAGCCATTCCCCAAACACCTGAGCGAACCAAACTGCATTTGTGTGAGGGGTCAGAAAGCCTGAATAACCAGAGGTGTGAGCACATCCCAAACAAACCAACGTGGGAGGTTCGAACTAATGTTCACGAACACTGAACAGAGTCTCTGCAGAGCTGGACGAGTTCTAGATCAGACCATCAAGCAAAACAAAAGGGTGCGGGAGAAGGACCTTTTCTAAAGCATTAACAGCCAAGATGCGAAGGCCATAGAACACTGAGCCACGGCTCCATCCGGGGAAGCTGGGTGAAGTTCTGTGCTCCGTGTCAGACAGGTCACCCTAGAATGAGCCAAGGGCCCCTCCCGGCTGTAACATCTCTGGATTTCTGAAATTAATTAAAACATTATTGGAGTCAAGTAAATGTTTATAGATTTGATGTGGCTTTGGCTGTACCAGGCACGTGCTGTCGTTCCCGGCAGCTTTTCAACATGCCGCGAAAGCCACTTCTTTCTTTTGTCCCTTTTCTACGACAGCTGGAAATGAGAAGGGGAGTGAGCTGCAACAGCATTCTGGTCTGACCACGTGTCTAGGCCAGTGTTCTAGCCACCCCGTCACAGCTCTCTCTGCGCTCACAGTGCGAAAAGCAGGAAGCTGCAGTGAGTTTTCTCTCTCAGTCAGCCGGCATTCTCGGCCTCCCTATCGACTCACGAAGCACCCCACCGCTGCAGTAGCTAAGCATCTTTAATTAGCCCGAGCTGCCATAATTAATTGGAGGCTGTGCCCATGGGTGAGAGGGAATAACATTGAGCAACATGCTGACCTCTCGTGAGTGCTGGCTGAAATGTCACAGGAATAAGGCCACAAATGGTGGGATCTTTATAATGGCAGTGTCCTCAGGCTCTGCTCTGTCCTGGAGGGAGTGGGGGGCAAGGGAAGTGGCCCCTATAAGCCCACACAACAAATACCGGCCTTCTGTAAGTAGCTATCTCTAGCCCTCACCTCCTGGAGCGACAGTTCTTGGAGTGTGGGGTCTTTGTGGGAGGGAGTGTGTGTGTGTGGGGGGGGGGGAGGGGGAATTGGGGCTCTCTCAAAGTGCAGGAAGTAACACAATGAGCCCATATTAAGGCCACCCAAGCAGGATGATCCAGCTGTGCCCTGGGCCGCCTTTGTTCCGGCTCACCCAGAGAAGGGGTGATTTCACATGCCTCTACGTGCGCCGATGGCTGGATTTACTGGCAGGTGTGAGATGTCTGACTTTGGTGAGGGATATCAACGTAGCATGTAATGAAATCTGAGGTGCTACTTCCCTGGGAGAGGTGTCGAGAGGAGTATGTAACATTTGCCAATCACCTAGAAAATGCAAAGTAAGTCTCATCACAGAGTAAAGAGCCCTAAGTGTTCCGTAACCAGACCTGAGTGGGTATTGCTGCTTTTGGACACTTGCCTTTGGCTGAGCTAGAATTGATGCATGGATGGAGAACTATCCAAAAGGCAGAACTGCTGAAACCTGCTGTGAGCAACACTCCTTAGTAGTGCAGTAATAAGCTAAGACAGATTTATTCCTCAAATGGATTAACCACCCTTCTCCTGCACATGAGTCTGTTTTGCTTGGCAATAACTTGCGAATGTGTTCTCCTTCTCTAAGCATACTGGCCTGAGGCTGTACATACCAAGTCTGCCCCTCACACGAGTAAAGGGAAACTTTTGCTCTCATTTTTATGAACAAGGAAATTTGGCAGCTTAACTGTTAAATCATAA